AGCTGAGCTGAGCTGAGCTGAGCTGAGCTGAGCTGAGCTGAGCTGAGCTGAACCGCCTCCCGCCCTGCAAAAAAGTTGCCCTGGGCCTGGCTGCAGGAAGGGAGGAAACCCATGGCCTTCCCACTCCTCCCCATGGGCAGCATCAGGAGCATGTCAATTGCCCTCCAGGTCCCCGGTGCCCAGCCTTGGATCTTCAGTCATCCTTAGCTGGCGTGCGCTGCAGAGATGGGTAGCCTGCAAGGTTTTCCACCGAGGACCAGGAGTTAAAGGAAAAGATGACCAAACAGGCCCAGCTGGCTGGAAGTGGTTGGTCAAAGAGGGCATCGCTTGCCGTGCACCAAAAGATTTGTGAGGACTTGTAGAATTAGGAGGCTGAAAGGTGTCCTTGAGGCTCTCAAGTCTGACCCCTGCTCAGCGCAAGAATTCAGATGCGTGCACCCCCGGCAGATGCCTGTCCAGCCTCTGCTTGAACACACCCAGCAAAGGGGGGCCCCTCGCCCTCTGGGCTCCACAGGGCATGGCCCTCCCTGTAACTTTCAGCAGGCATCTGATCTGCCTTCCCTTATTCCACATCCTGCTCCGTGGAAGGAAAGAAAGGCCCCGACCATTTGCCCTACCGCGCCCTTTCAGGTCCTTGAAGAGGGCCCTCGGTCTTCCTTTCTCAAGGTTAAGGCTGCCCAGCTCTGGAGCATCCTGGACTGGTCCACGGGCTCCCATTCGGCACCCCTCCTGTTCAGTAAGGAAAGTGATGGGTGCTTCTGGAGCCCCCTTCCTTGTGGGCACTCCCCTCGGATTTAACTTTGGGTGACACGACCCTGCATCTGCAAGCACCCTCCTGCAAGAAAACACATCCTCCTCTGGAGTAGCTCTGGAGTGCTGTTGACCCAGGACTGTGAGAAAAGAATACCTCCCTATATCCAAAAAACCCCACACGATTGCTTTAAGGGCACCAGTCTGGAAATCACAAACGTGGGTCAGCTTTTGAGGTGTGGGTCAGGCCAGGGGTCTTTTAAAGCACAGGTTCTGGGCAGATGCAGAAGAGAAGGGGAGGCTGACTGGCAGTCTCGATGTCTGACTCCTCAAGCAACGTGGGAGAATCTGCAGATCGCTAAATTGGCCTCTGAGGTTGAACCAAGGACAAATTCATGTATTTATAATCCAGAGGCTCTTGGCAGTCCACGGTTCAGTTCCTATCCAGAGAACAGGTGGATCCAGTAACCAGATTAACTGCGCTGTATTCCTGCAGCCAGAGAAGGAGCAGCTGATCCCGTTTTTATAAACACAAACTCCAGGCCTCTCCCGTCCCAGATGAGGCTCAAGACAGGGTGGTTGGAAAAACAGATAGAGAAACATCGTTGTTTATATCTTAAACTGAAAATAAAGTTTTAGGGACTGTAGGAGGTCAGTAAACTGTCAGGAAAGAAGTCCCGGTCACAAGATGCAGTGCCTTGTCTAAGATCCGGGAGGGGAACAGCTAAATTGGGTGTTTGTTGATTGTCCCATGCAGAGGATCGAGGGGCTGGAGCAGCTGCCTCCAGAGGAGGGAAGGTTGGTCATCTGGGGCTGCGTCGGCTAGAAAGGAGGCAAACGGGAGGGGGCAGGATGGCGGTGCAGAAAGTCATGCAGGGGGCGGATCCCGTGGGCAAGGAGCAGCTGTTTTCCCCTTCCCCAAATATTAGAACCAGAGGTCACCCAATGACATGGAATCCTGCAAGAATCAGGACAGACCAAAGGAAGGTTTTGGTTTTGTTTTTAAACACGATGCATAATCAAACTTTGGAATTCGCTACCGTGAAATGTGGTTCTGCCCGCCAGCTTGGCTGGTTCCCAAAAAAGGGCTGGAGCATTTCATGCTGCCTGTCTTCGGGGCTGAGACCCACGTGAAGGAAAGGGGTGCGTCCTCCTGCTTGGAAGGTGGTGTCTCCCCCGTGCCTGCTCCTGGGCTCCGTGGTTGTCCTGGACCCAGACGGGGGTCTCTCGAGGATCCCCCCAACAGACGGCCTGTAGAAAGAAGCAAGCGGGACACGTTTCCCAGGGGTCTGTGGCACATCAGCATCCTTGGCATCTTTGGGGTCGTTCCTACCTCTCTGCAGCTCCCCAGGCGGGCAGGGCATCGGGAAGCAGCCCCCCGTTTTTGCCAAGCCACGCGCTGGGGGGTCTTAGAGCGGGGCCAGAGCCCCCCTTCTCCCGGCGCTTCAGGCTGCTGCTCTCCGCTCACTCTGGGTTATTTCGCCCCTGCTTTCAAGACGGGGACTGCTGGGATGGCAGCTGCTGCTCCGCCCTGCTCTGGCAAGTTCCTCTGCCAAGTCTGAGCTGCTGCAGCTGCATCAGCCAAAGGCGTTTGCGGTCCTCATTGCGTTCACCCCAAAACACCTCCCGTAATAAGCATCGCCAGGCCACGTCCACACAGCCTGTGGGTGGATTTGCACAACATGCGTGAGCCTGGTGTTGACCTTGGCTTGGGGGGCTGTGCCACCCCAGCCCTTTGGGCTCAGTGTCACTGCAAGCCCAGGAAATGGGCTAACTCAGTAGCCAGGCAAAGGGTGGGTGAATCTGGGCCAGGCAGGCTGAGCGGGGCTCTTTGCTGAGGAACGTCAGGAGGCACCCCAGGCCTTCCGCCCTCTGCATCCGGAGGGGGGTGGGGGGGCTGGAAAGAGGCCCTGAGGGGGCGCTGGGGAGGAGGGTGCCAGGAGAGGGGACGGGGAGCGTTGCCCAACCACCAGGTGGGGGGGAGCAGTTGGGTGTTGACTCTTGCACAGTCGTGGGTCTGTGTCAGCGTGCGTGGCTGTGTTTCCCCCACATGCCCACCTAATTAATCTATGGGGGGGCGTACAATCCAGTGAACCATAAATGATCCAGTGGGGCCAGATTGATTCACACGTAAATGTTGTATGTTGTGTGAATACCGCCAGGTCTCTCTCTGAGCCCAGGCGATTCTGCTGCGTGCACGCAGGCGATGGTCAGTGCCACTTGACCCACAAGCAGGGCAAGATTCCTCTCCACCATCCCTTCCATCAGCCCATTTCTTGGGGGTCAGGTTGAGGGGGCAACCCATGTAAAGACCAGCTGGGCATTCCTGAAGGCCAAGCAGATGGACGCTGCTCCGGCTTGGCTTTTTCTTCCTAGCTCCCCGTCTCCCGATGTGGCTTCATAAGCCGGAAGGGCCGGTCTTCCCTTCACACACGCACCTTAACTAACCACCAATCCTGCGCTTATCCCACTTCCCCAGGCTGCCATCTGGCTGGGCCGAATGGCCCTTGCCAGGGGGAGTGTGGCAAAGCCTTATGAAGCTGGGAGATGAAGCAGCTCCAGAGGGCGAAAGCAGGAGCAGCAACGGGGCCCACCAAGGGGGTCTCGTTCTGCCGGGGAAAGCCCATCGAGAGAGACGAAGCAGCGTCTGGCCTGCTCATCCTGGAGTCGGGCCCGGGATGCTGCTTCTCCGTCCACCCAGGCAGCCTGGGGAAGGGGCTGGGCTGAGCTGAGCACGGGAGCTGCCGAGCAGCACGGGCATTTCCCGCCCGCTGGGCAGCAGCTCTGATTCCAGGACAGCAGCTGCTCGGGCACAGGAAGTTCACTGCTCAGTTGGGGAGCAGAGAAGGGGGGGATCGGGTTGGCTGCCCCTTGCCTGCTCCAGGGCTCGGAAGCAGCAGCAGCAGCAGCAGTTCCGGTCTGAGCTTTGAAACCTACTCGGCTCCGGAAAGTCACCTTGCCCAAGGAGCTGCACTCCTGCCTTGCCGGGCAGGCTCGCCCATCTTATGGCTTTCTAGCCCCCCTTGGTGAGCCCTGAGAGGTGGTATCAAGGCCAGTTTGGTCTCTGGCTTGGGAGCCCGAGTCCCGTCTGCACCACCCCCAGACTGGCCGAGGCGCCCCAAAGCAGGGCAGGGCTGGGGGCAGTGACTGCAAGGAGACAGGCAACGCTGCTTGCAAGGGCAGGGAGGGACCCTGGCGAGGGGGGCAGCTGCAGGCTGGAGCAGCCAAGGGGATTTGGGTGGACAGCGAGAGGGTGAGGAGTGGGATGAAGAGGAAGAGGAAGCTGCGGGGGGCGGGGGGCCAAAGGAAAGGCCCTGGGGGAGCAACGGAACAGGGCAGCCTGAGACCAGGAGCCAGGAATGGAGGGACCGAGCCAGCTTATTGGGGGCGGGGGGCGGACTCAGCAGCCAACCCATTTC